TAGTGCTTTAGCACCACCTAGTGTCTATGTATGCACGCCCCTGATACTCGCGCTACTATTGAGCAATGCCAGACCGAACTTCCCGAACTCAAACATTGTGGGCGGGACTAAGTTCGGAATGGCACCCAGGCTAGTTAGATGGCGCTATTCTCCTAAAAAAAAAATGTTTGCTGGATGCTTTGGGGCCACCGCCTGTAAAGCTCGGTAATCAAAGGCTATAAAACAGGTTCTAGTACCATCATCGATACCTCAACCCTGACGTATATATAGGCCATATGCGTCACACTCAAGGCTCAGGCTGGATCCAGTCTGTTGGAGCTAAAAAGAGGATTTTCAATCTCACAGGGAAAGAAAGACGGAATAATTTTATTGATACAACTACTTTAGTCTTTGGCGCTCGGATCTCAACAGGAAACTTTAGCTCTGAATTTTGCTTTGATTTGCATAAACGGGAGTAATGAATAGAGATGTGTCCCCCAGGCCTGAAACTGGTGGTGAAATGGAGAGAATGAAGAAGGTTCAGTCCATGAATGCTGGTTGGTGAGACGGTGTGCTGAGCTTTATGGGGAGATCCAGTGGGCTGCATAAGCTGATAGTAGTACTTCACTCAGGGACCTGGAAGATGGAATTTCAGCCTGGATAACACAGGTTGCATAAACCTGTCCATGATGCACAAGCATGAAATGACAGTGGAGAGGAAAACCTTCCTTTGAGAAGAAATGTCTGGCAGAACCAGACTAGACATGGCGGTCTTTTGCCGGACCGTTTGAGATGTGATGGGGAACGCAGAAAGAGTTAATGACACTTTGATGAAGCTTGAGCTATGATGGCGGAGAAGGGGCTGGAAGTGGGTTGAATCGGGGACTTCTGAATCGAAGTCAGTCATAGAGCAACCACTGCCTGCACCTTGGGTAGCAGACTGAGATGTGGATTTGGAGACCTTTTGAGATTAACTATGGATGCTGATTGGCCTGTGACAGAGGTGGATTACAGTAAGTAATCGCTTCTTCAGCTGAACATCCGCCTATGCTCCATATAAAAGCTGCTGAAGAAATGGGAGTGCATGTATACTACTATAGCAAAGTAGTATACGTCTTGATTTTTATAAATCATATAATGAAATGCCATGAAAATGCTGAAGCAGCCTGGTTCAAAA